TAATTGAAGCCAACTTGGAGGCAGCCACACAGCGTCTGTGGAGTGTCTCAGTTTCGAGTTGGCTTTTGTGGATCGGCAACTGCAACTGCAACAGCAACAGCAGCCTCGTCTTGGATCGGACTTGGTCCCCTCGCAACCTCACCCCCTCAAATTATGAGAGGGGGGAGACTCAGAGCCAAGTTCAGGCTCAGCTTTGGGCCAACCGGCTCAGGCCGTGGCGGCTATATTAAATTTATTTTAATGCCAAAACACCAACTCCAGCTCCAGCTTCCCGCTCATATGGCCAGTGGGCATGGCTTTAATATTTTCTCCCATGGCGGCCAAGTTGAACCAAATCGCGTTTCGCTAATTATTAACCCCGACTGGGATCCCTTCACCATCTTGGTTTAGTGGATATTCTAGGGTCAATCCAGAACATGGAACACTCTTCGATGGGACCATCTGGCATATGACTAAGGAAAGGTCAAATTGGGAGTCCAAATAGATGTTGCAAACTAAATCATATGCAAGGAGCTCTTACAGATACAAAGATTCATGAGTCAGCAGGGGATTTTTAGGGGAGAAGAAGTAAAAACTGAAGAAAATATTTCATAGATAATATACACATATTATTAATTTATTAATGAAAATCAACTTCAACAACTAAAATATAAGTTATTCGTAAGTATCTTTCAATGAAGAAGCTCGCTTAAGTGGTATTCAAAACCAATAGAATTCCAAATTAACAAACAATTTAATAAACACTAAACCCATAACAAATATTTTTCTTTCCCAGGAATATTCATCAAATCCATTATAACGCCATGGTTTTCAACTAATTATTTATGATATTTGCAAGCCAACAGACCAACGTTGTAGTTGTCGGCAAAACGTCAGCAACATTGTTAATAATTTTTTAATACCACCATAATTAAGATGAAGGCAATTTGCCAGTTGGTTATAGTTTTTTTTTTTTTTTTGCTCGGTTTTGCGTAAATGAAATGAAATTAAGGCAAGTATAACCGAGGCAGGGTAGTTAAAGCCAGACAACGTCAAAATCAACTTGCCAGATACTTATTACACGGCTGTTGCCGACACTGCTGCCACGTTGCCTGATGATTATTGGCATTACGTGGACGTGCATAAGTTGAACTTATACTTGCAATATAATTAATTTATACTTAAACTCTCTGACAATTTCAATGTTGCATGCAGCTGGCTTGGGACTGGTAACGGGAAAGGAGACTAGGAGGGGGCACGAAAGCTGCAGTCAACAAGCTCGACACACAAATTGCTTTGTAATTTATTTGCAATTAATTTTGAATTAATATCAACGAAAACTGAGTAAAACGAAAAATTATGTCTGCCAAGGAATTTGGGTCTTGTTTTGGAGATGTTTGAGTTTTCGGGACAGGGAGACTTTGATGCAGAGAGAGAAATGTAACAAGGGATTTTATATATAGTCCTATAATCCTTAAATTTGTGGTATTTCTCCCTATTTAATGTGAACTATAATCTGTTCTTTTTACAAATCTAAAACCTTACCGCCTATAGCGGCAATATTTCAGTTCGGTTAAAAGACCCAACCATTTATCAATGCATTTACCATTTAAATTACCCCCGTGCGAAGCCTTCCTTCGGTGCCGACAATGGGCCATCTTTTGGCTCATTTGCAGTCAATTTAGCGCTCACGTGGTTAGTCATAAAAATTTTTGCACAAAACATTCATTTAATAAGCAATTATTGCCTGGTCCTCTTTAATGCTTTTTGCCAGCCTGCCAGCCTGCCTTCTGCCTCTTAGCTGTGTTGCATTTACGCGTCAAGACTTTCAACTAATTACAAACGATTTACATGCAACACAGCTGGGAGTTACGGGTACGATAACCAGGGCCAAGAACATTGGAGCAAGAACCAGGCCAGCTTTTTTTTTCTTTTGAGCCAGCCTGGATAATCCCGCCTCATGTATTTGCAACATTTAAAGTAACATGCAGAAACCGGTTGTTCGTACACAAACCTCATCATCGCTTATAAACATCATCATCGTTGCGATGACACTGCCACGAGCAGAGCAGAAGAAAATAAATATAAATAAAATAATAATAAAGTAAAGAAAAGAAAACACCCACAAAATCCGCTTGGCACGCACGTATGTAGAACCCGCTCTCCTGGATGGGGCCTCATCAGTTCATTGCGCATGCGCGGCGTGCTTCGACGGCCAGAAGGAGTGCAATTTGTGATCCGCTTATAATTAGCGGAGACTCATAGAGTCCGTGCTCGACTTTCACCTAGCCGGAGATTGACCAAAAGGCCAAAGGCTTGGCTTGGCTTGCAGTGCGGCAGCTCATTAGACGCCTATGAGTCACCCAGCGGGTTGGCCACTTTTAGCTTTCAAGTGCTGCCGCCTTGGCCCAAAAAAATAGGAAAAATCAAGGAAAAAATAGAATAACTAGGTACAGCTGCGTGCTCAATGGAGTCCGTGCAGAGCAGGCTCTAATAATTAGGTGTAATATATCTCAAGACAAGTTAAGACCAGCTGCCCCCTGAGGAAGGGTATTAAAGAGGTTGCAAGACTTAAGTAAATAATATTTATATATATATATATATATATATATATATATAAAGAGAAACCTTCAATTGATAAATAAATAAAGAACTTTAATGAGGCTTACACCTAATTCTTCAAGTATCCTTTTAAGAAACCCCAACTCTTTCTACTTAAATAAAAAAAATACATATTTAAACCCAAAGAGTAAATCCTTTTAGACATCCTTTAAGATATCCTTTTAAGCCCCAATAGTTAGTGTATTTTCCTACAATATTGAGTTCCGTTTAGCGCATTAATTTTCAATAGATTGTACTTATAACTTTTTTTTGTTTTTTTTTTTCCTCTGGCCTCTAATTCGATTTTTATTGCACCTGGATTTTCTTGTTTGGCGCTGCCAATAGACAATTTATTTCTCATGTATACACACATATGTATATATTTTTCCTCAATCGCCGTGTGTGTAAGTGTGTGTGCTGATTATTTCGCGCTTATTATTATTGCTGGCTTTGAGCTTGTGCTTTTTTCTTAACTTTTTGCTTAATTTTCAATAAATGTTACGGCTTTGTTGCCGCTTGTCTCCCCGTCGCAGTCGATTACTCATTTGACTGCCTGCACATAAATTTTATGCACTTTTTCTATTTTTTTTGTTTTGCAAATATTTTTTGTTTTGTTATTTTTTTGTTTATATTTTGATTGCTTTATTTTTTTATTAATTGCTTTTTACAGCATTTAGGTTGTAAAGGAGACTGTGGTGGAGGAGGAGGTGAGTAGTATCTCCAGACTCGGCTGGATCCCAAGTGTGCGTGTTGTATCGTGTGAGCTGATTGTGTCATTAGAGCGGATCGTATCCGACGGATACCAACCAAGCTTCAGACAGAGACAAAGCGGCCCAAAACGCCAAACACATAAAATGCGGTCGAAGAGATACTCAATACTCGAGACTTGGCAGCGAGAATTGATTTGCCATTAGAATTGGGTCAGCAAATCGGTAAATTCGTGCGAATTTAATTGGGAATTTTAATGGATAAATTATAAACAATTTATATCGGTTACAGAGTAAATTAATATGTCAAGGAACAGATTATATTTTAGCATTTAATCAGGTCAACTATTAAAGCTGTTCTTTCACTAGGTTTTATAATAAATGATAATATCAAATAAGCAATAAAGAAACCATCATAGCAGGCCAAAGAAAATCTTGCTTAAAACACTTTACTGGTGTCATTTTCCCGCCACATTTTTTCTTGTTTATTTTCCTTGGCCTGACACACTTTTGGGTCTCTCTCCCTCCATGTAGATCCCTTTTTTTCGATCTCATAATTTAGTCATTTTTACGAGCAACGACAACAATCGCCCCCAGAGACCAATGGCAAACAGGAATTAGTTCAAAATAAACTTGAAAATAGAACTCGCAGCGATCAACAGATCGATTTGTTGTTCTTTCGGCTGATTCGCCGCTAAACTATGTGCCACAAGGCAACAAATAAATATAAAAAAGGCCACAAAAGACCCCAGAAAACAAAACAAAACCAACGAGGACATGCGAAATTTTTATTTATTGCTGACAATTGCACAAAAGTCTCTTTTTTTTCCCCTTCTGCGATCGGTTTTTATGGTCATTAAAATTGGGACAAAAATATTTTGACCGCTCTCAGAGTTGAGTTTAGTTTTGGGTTTTTTGTTCTTTTGACTTTTTTTCGGTCCGTTGTTTGGCGATTCTAGAGCACGACTGCGACGGAAAGACAGTGCCTGCGGCAGTTCAACGCGATTCTGTGGCGGATTTGGTCGGATTTGCCCTTGATTGGCCAAGTTGCAACAGAATGTTGCTGCTGCCCGCCGGCCGATCGAACTGATTTCGAAGCGACTTCGAAGCGGCGACTAATTAATGATCCGTTGTCCATCGTCTGTCTGTCTTGGACTTTGCATGCTAATTAAATGCGAGCCAGAAATCAATTTAGTGATGTGAGGGAAGCACGTGAGTCACGAGAGGGTGAGGAATTTCCATAGAAGATATATAGATATACTATACATAAATTCAGAGAAGGGAGAGCTTCATCCTAATAAACATTTCTAATAAAAGAACACCTATAAAGGTGGTCAGGATAATGGCATCCTTCAATACTTGAGGAAATATATAAAACTTGTACACAGGAAATAATATAGTTGAGATATATAAGAAGCACAGATCTATAAAAGAACTAGTAATAAGTATGAATTTTCTATTCTATAAGAAAACTATATTTAAAGGCCACTGTTCTGTAATATCTGTTAATGTCCTTGTCCGTCATATCTTTTGAAGTCTGTTTTCATATTAAGAAGTTGTGCTCTCATAATATTATTTAAATAAGAACCTATGTTAATTCCCCTTTCAGTAAATATATAAAATATTCCAAATCCTTATCTCTAATCCCCACCAAAAGTTGCTCAGTTTAATTTGGGTAATTTATAAATTCAGCATTTTTTCTGTTCGACTCACCGACTCGGTTTTGATGTTGAGCGCCAGGACATGCGAAGAGCTGTTCGAGGATGCCGATGGCGGTGATGCAGGCGCTGCTCCGCTGCATGGTGACTTCACAGCAACGACGCTGGACATGGATGTTGCATTCAGTGGACTTGGACTCGGACTGGCCTCTCTCAGAGGACTGCTTCCAGCTCCGGCTCCAATGCCCAGGACAAGACCCATGCCCATGCCCAAGCTTTGGGAGTACGGTGATACCGATCCCAGTGGCGATTTGTTGGCATTTGTGGAGCAATTGGAGGGCACAACGGCGGCGGTGGTGCAACTGGTTAGGGTGCTGGTCGCTGAGCTGGATGATGATGACGATGAGGAACAGGATGATGATGAAGATGATGAGCTGCTGCTGCTGTTGTTGTTGTTATTGTTATTCGTGTTGCTGCTATTGTTGCTCTTGTTGCAGATCATTGCCTGCAATTTGGTATTGTTGTTGTTGCTGCTGCTATTGTTATTGTTGTTATTATTATTATTGTTGTTGTTGTTGTTGGTGGCATTGGCATTATTATTATTAACACTTGCCGCCGAGCTGGGCATTAAGCTGCCATCACAGTACTCGAGCTTCACAATGTTGCCGTTGCCGCTGTTGTTGTTGTTGTTGCTGCTGCTGCCGCCGCTGGTGTGGCTCGTGTTGCTGATGTTGCTGGTGTTGCTACTGCTGCTGCCGCCTCCGCCGCCGCCGCCGCCGGGCGTGGCACCAATGGCCGCCTCGCATGGCAGCACGGTGCCCAGCATCTTGTCGAGCGTTGTGTACGGTGACTGTGACTGTGACTGTGATGTCGTGGATTCAGCGGCACCGGCAGAGTCCTCGCAGCCCTCGGCCATGTCACGTGTCACTGACCCGCTCGCATCCTGGCTGAGTCCTGTAAGAAAAAGAAAGACAAGAGTGGACATAAGTACCTAGCATTAAATATTAAGGCTTAATAGGGGAGATTTCGAGATATATATGGATATTGCTTTAATTATCGTTGAGGATTCATTTAATATTTAGGAATATTTCTCTACAAAGGACTTTCCAAATATACAAACGTTGCAATTACCTGATATCAATGCCACATTGCTTACCCTTAAATATCAAATGTCGTCTGACTGAATTCCCCCCACATCTCGGTTGGGGGGCATCATAATTTAGAATTTACGTTTATCGAAAATATTTCGTGCACTTAAAACCCATACCCGTGAGCATTAATTTCATTAATTATCCCTGTTGCCCGTCGGTTGACCACGGCAACAGGGCGCACAAACAACAAATGGGGAAAGGATTGGAAGGAGCCAAAGGATACCCCCTGGCACACACACACAAGCTGCATAATTTCGCAAATGCAAAATGTGTAACCGAGTCGGAGTCGTAGTACGTTTCTGAGGCCATGTCCTTGCCAAGCCACGACGTTCTCCACAGGACAACGAACGACTTTACCGCCGGAATTGTGAGGAGAAAATTACACAGTCAGAATATATCAAATATAATTCATATATAAGAAATGAGGACATTGAAAAGAAACCTCTAAGGAATGTAAAGCAATATTTACAAAAGTTTCCTAATCATTTATCAATGATTTCATAGTTAATGTTGGTATTATTATATATTCACTCTTAGTATTAAAAGAATATATAATATTTTCTCCATGTGCCTTAATCGGAATGATGGACACCAAGACCGAAGCATACGGGTGGTTTTCTGTACAGAACCGATGCCAACTTGGATGGTAGGAGTTTGGTGCAATTGGGCGCTCTGTACAGTCGTAATCGAAAATTTTACACCTACTCTGCATTATAATTTATGCCCGAAGAGGGACAACTGACCAAAAAGTCCAGAAAAACGAAAGGAGAGCCGGGGGTAATGTGGTGAACGTGTCTGGCAAGAAAGTTTTTCCTGCATACAATAAGAAGGAAGAATACGTAGGAAAAATGTACGAAAATGTTCAACGAAAAGTTATCCGAGTGGGGGGATAAAGATAATACGTAGTAGACTTAAGCAGAACGAAGGACTCTCCGTAATCGCCTCACATCTGAAATAGATTCCACTAAAGTTTATTTCGCAGGCTCTCCGAGGGAATCTTCAAATCTGAGCCCCAAAGGCGCCTTAATTTGGGCAACGATTTGCTTGCTAAAGAGCTTACCTAACTACAGTCCACAAAAGGGAACATCAATGCCTATGCCGCCTTGACATTTGGCCCCAAAAAATGGCAGCAGGCAAGAGATCCGAGAGAGAGAGAGGAAGTGGAAAGGGGTCCTGCCTTCGTTGCATTGTCTGCAGGTCTACACAAAACGGGCGTTGATTTTAATGCATAATGCATACAGCTGGCTCCTGTCCCTTGCACACACACCCAGCACCCACACACCCACAGACATCCCCGCCTTATCCCTTGAAAGGACCTGCCTGCAGTTGTAATACTGCAAGCAACTGCACTCGGAACTCAGAACTCGGAACTCGAGTCGCAGTCGGACTCGAACTTCTGTAGCTCTCGGATTCGGACCCTCAGTTTGCTGTTACCAATGCACTGAGAAGAATATAAATCAATTTATAATAACCTTAGGCGTATTAATTAAAGAGGGTTAAGTAAAAAAAAACTCCTGCCGCACTTTTAATATAAAATTAAACATCATAATAAGTAAGCAATATTTCTATACCATCCTAATATATCCCATCTTCAATTTTATTATTAAGAATACATTTTCCCAAGTGCCTGTTGTTTGTGTCGACACTGGCCAGCCGGCAGCAGTCAACGAACGCACTTTTCCGGCCACATGGCCACATGGCCAACGCCGTAATGAGCCGCAAGAGCAGAAGGGGAAAATCGGTATCGGAGAGAGGTAAAGAATGCCAGGATTGTGCCTTGAAAGTTGGAGTGTGCAGGACATGCAATGCCAATGCCTGAGTCCGAGTCCGAGTCTCTGAGCCCGAGCAAAAGCTTCGTGTTTGTAGATTTTTGGCCAGGAAAAAGGGGGCTGTGAGAGGGCGTAATAATTAATTTCGTACGTTGCATGCAAATGTCTGGCTACCCCAGCACTCGGCGCCATAAGAAGCAAAAACAATGCATAATATCAGAAGCGACTACAAAAACACAACACACACATGCAGACTTCTCCTACAAAATAATTTCGAGTATGCGTCAACAGCAAATGCCAAAAGCCTGCCGGAGTGGCAGGAGTTGAGTGGTGGTATCGGTGAGTATTGGTGGAATCCAAGGGAGCGCTGCAAGTTGCTCGTTGCAAGTTGCTCGTGGCTAGCTGGGCCCTGGTGCTGCTCTTTGGCAACATGTTGTGAAAGCAAATTGTAGCGACAAAATGTGCAGCCAAATTAAGTACAATTTGCGCATATTAAAGTCTGGCCAAATTACACACGGAGGTAGCAACAGCAGCAACAGCAGCAGCAACGGCAGCAACTCCAATAGCAACATGCAACAACGGCAACATTTTGTCGCTTCCTGCGATCGCCGCTCGCCACGAAATCTAATCAATAACTAGGCAAACTAGTATAATTTCATGTAGCACACTAAATAGCACGATTAATTATCGCCGGCCTGGCAACTATAATTCAAATCAAGCTCACTTCATTTCCAAAGCACGCCAGCAACATGCCATCATCCGCAACATGAGACACACTATACCATACCCATATGCCGTACTCCCATCCTATATCGGCTCGCAAAACGCATTACAAACCGGTCTAATTATACTCATTTTCTTGCTGTGCCCCCTTGCAACATGTTGCTGCTGCCGCTGCTGCTGCCAAGCTATAAATTGCAATTTCCATGCAACTTTCTAAGCGAACAAAAAATTTATCATTCAAAGTCTCTGCCTCCCCTGTCTCTGGATCGAGTTTGGAGCATCTAGCATCAAGTACCGAGTATAGTATCGCATCTGGTCGTTTGGCGAAGCGTTTTGTCTTCGACAGCAATTCGTTGGCAATATTCAAATTAATAAAATCATCAATAATTTTGCATGGCTTTGCAGGCATGTAGAACATGTTGCTGCTGTGGTCGTTGCTGTTGGAGTCGCTGCTGCTGCTGCTGGTGGTGCTGCCCCGCTGCAACTTGTTGTAATTAATAGTCAAACTAAATTGTAGCACACTTGCCATCATTTAGAGTTAGGAGCCAAATGTGGCACAAAGCAATTTTTGATTAGAAACCGGGCAACGGACGTCGATTCCTCACGTCCTCTTATGCCCGCTTCCATGGACAACTTCATTTTTATGGCCAACTCCGGGGCTATTAAATTTTTCTTTTGATTTGTAATTAGCGCAAAATGCATATTAAATAGCCAACGACTCGACTGTTGAGGAAGTGAATGGAGGTTTCCACTGCAGCTCCTCTTGCCGTTTTCGGTGCTGTTCTAGCCAACTTTTACCCCGTGGCGATAAAATAATCAATAATGCGCCGGCTTCATTGGCCAAAAGCAGCATTAAGTCATTGAGCTGAAATTATTTATGCAACATTTATTTACGCATATACACACACACGTGTGCATAGAAAAAGTTTTCGCAACTTGCTGTTGTTTTGAGTTCTTAAGAGGGTTGAGTTATGCATTGTTTTTTGGGGTTGTTATTGGGGGGTGTGCCATAGAACGTGCAATTTTCTTAAAAATTACACACGATTACACATGAAATACACCAACTGATATATTATGGAGAGACACAAGGGGTTACCCCCGGGAGTTTCAGGAACTTTAAGTTGCTTACTTGGCAAGGAGTTCGTTTTAAATTAGCTTAATAAGCTTTAGAACTTTATATTAAGTCATTATCAAGTAAAGAGTGACAGAAATTGCTCTATTTCAAAGAATGCAACTTATACCACATCATTTAATTATCTTAAGGTAAAGGTTCTTATACCTTCTCAGTAAAATATCAGCCTGCATTCGACCTTTCAGTCCGTAGTATTTGGAACAATGGCACTCGCAATCCGGTCAGTGGTCCTTCTGTAAGCCCGTTTCATTCATTTTCCACTCAAATCATTAAAAAAAAGTATATAATAATAATAATGAAATTTGCGTGATTCCAACGAAGCACGCACTAGGCGATGCCAATAACAGAAACAACAATAATAATAGCCGAAGGCGTACTCAATATAGCAGCAACATCACGGCATCAACAATAGGTAAACCTGTGCAGCCAAACGCCCCCGGAGAGAAGAGTACAAAAAATATATATAAGTAAAAACGGGAAAGGAAGTCAAAGTCATGCCCAGTCTAAAGCTGAAAAATCAACCCTCTCATGGGTCCTGCTGCCAGGACACTCATACTCCCTCAGACATTGTCCTTAATGCGCCGCGTAATGAGTTATTCGCATTTTTTTTTTTTTTTCGTTCCTGTTTTTGTTTCGCAAAGCTGACGCCCCTCGCCGATCGCCCACATTTGGCGATTTTAATTCATTTAGAAAAGGAAATAATAATGAGAAAAAATGGGGGAGAACACTCAAAAGGTTGAGATAAAGAATAGCAAATGCCCTGAAAACATTTTTTAGAGGTCCTTTTTGGGTAAAATTTAATTTCTAAAGATGTTTTACATTAAATTCTAAACTAAAGCCCTATTTTATGGTTCAAAGAAATGTAGTTAAAGATAACTTCATTAAATATTAAATAAATATGGAGACACATTTTTATTCCTTCTATTAAATGTCTAAAATTTGAATTAATAAGTAAGTGAGGTGAATTTTACTTGTTAAACCCATAGAAATGGCAAAGAAATTACCTAAAATATTAAAAAAATCATCCGAAATAGGTAATTATTTATGTATTCTTTCTTTAGCAGATAATTTCATTAGCATTCTAGATGAAATTTCAAGCATACCCTCCACTCGAGAGTCCCTCGAGTAGGTCGAGAATTGCATGTCCTGTTCCGTGCTGCATTCGTGTAGTATAATCTA